ATTTTGCAAAAAATAGCATTTTTTAAAGTGAATTTGTGGAAAAATTTGTGAACCGATTTTTATAAAATATTATTTAAAACAAAGTTCGATAATTTAAGCATACATGCGTGTTTAAAATTTTTCATTTKGTTTTCTCATTTAGGTACGGTGAGCCAAAATTAACCGGCGCGATACTAAACCCAACCCAAAATAATAACAACTATAGCAATTGGGAAATTTGCCAAAATTTAAAAATACAAAACAACTTACGTATAAAAAATGATAAGCACATTTAGTAGTGTTAAGTGGCTGCATAAGTAGTTTGAATCTCAGGAGGTTAAATGTGTTGACTAATTTTATAGATTTAACAAATTCTCACGTGTGGCGCAATCTAGAAAGACACATAGGAAATAATAAAACATAATACAAATGATTATAATAAAAGCGCTAACAATTATATGATACATACATTAAATATGATTTATACAGATAGCAAGTGTTATTCATAGAAATATATGGACAAATTATTGTGTTATCAGTTACGAATTATTTATTATTAATACTAGTGAGATATAATTGTTTTATTATTTTTATTGAAGCCGTTAGATTAATAAAATATAGTTTAAAAACTCCATGTGAAAGAAAATGTCTCTATTTTATGTGTTGTTATTTTCAGTTGTGGCTTAATTTTGTTTGAAAAACAGAGGATTCGAAAATATTTATCCAAATGGGTGGATACCGCACCATCAGATACTGACAAAAAGCGTCCAGATTACATATATATTAAATACCATATTTATAAGGAGTCAATGCGAAAATTGAAACAAAAGGAAGAGGATGAAAAGGTATATACATACATATTAAAAAGTGGAAGAATGTTGTTGTTGACTATAGAATATATATTTGAAAACTATTTAAATTTTCTCATATACAAGTATTTAATACAATAATAACATGTAAATGCCATCAGAATGTTACTTGATAAATATATATATTTAATTATTAATTTTAGAAATGGATCAGCATCATTATTAATCCTATTGGCAAGTGGTGGAAAGCCGTTAAACATTCAGTAGCCTGGCGTTTGCTGAATATCGCACAAACAGGTTCACAACATGAACGTCTCAAGGCCGTCCGACAATTGGCCTGTATCGATCACTTAAAGGACTGGGACTTTCGACATTTGGCACAAATTTGCGATGCACGCACCGCCGTCTCTTTGGCACGTTCTGGCGCCGATTCACGTTGGTTCGTGCCGGTTCATATGCGCGGCTGCATTAAGAATCCCAAACTCGTGCTTGCCGACTTTCATGATATGCTAGCGCGTTTACGTCCCAATTCTTGCGTTGATAACTTTTTCAACAAATACTTTCCACAACAGTATCCACACGAAGGCATCGATGAATTCTTTACACAGGATCAAGCTAACGCCTTATCTGTACAGGATACGGACATGCTCAAAGAAATTATCGCATTCCTACATCATATAACAAAGGATGAGGCGGTTGCGAAGCAAATCATCAACGATGGTGGTCTGACACATCTTATGGAATTACGCAAAATTTTTGCCGATGATAATGAAACCCTCTCGACACTCTGTAAAGTTTTGGCGAATATGTCGCTTGTTGAAGATAGTGTGAAGCATTTCTTCGCGTCCGGTTGGATTGGCGGATTGGCAGAATGGATGAAATGTCCCGATTTACGTTTGCAAGTGATATCGGCCAAAACGATGGCTAATCTGGATCATGATGATCCCAATCATGTGGAATATCCACCCAATGTCTATCCATTGCATCCACGTTTGCGCACGCGCGCCAAGCCGAAAGCTGATATCGTTTTCATACACGGACTGTTGGGCGGTGTTTTCATTACATGGCGCCAAAAGGACCGAAATCCCACCGAATTGGGTTTATATGGCAAGAATGCATTTTACACAAGCGAAACGGATGATGTGTTCTTGGTTGGCGAACAAAGACGTGGCAATGGTAAGCTGTTCAAAAATGGAAATGGAATTAACGCCAGTAATGTTAGCAACGTTAGTGCAAATAATAGCTTAAAGGAGCAAGCAACAGGTTTGTGATTTCTATTGAAATTTGTCAATATGCAATATGTAATATGAATGTTTTTTGATACAGATCCAATACTGAAAGCAGCTAAAAAGGAGAAAAACAAAACTTTGGAAATTAGCGACGCGGCGACTATGGAACTTGTGGAAGCACTGCAGAGCAGCGCCGAGCTTGAGTCCGATTGGGAGGTAGTACATCCAGATGTACCACTGAAGGCGGGCGAAGGTTGTTGTGGTGAATTTAGTGTGCCTGGCAATGAATGGCAAAATCAAGATAACTGTGAAGATTACACCAACTGTTGGCCAATGGAGTGGCTGCCAGATGATTATCCAAATACAAGGTATCTGGACATGATAATTTTTTTTGTTATAATAGCTAATATGTTGTTTTTTTTTTTTTTTTTTGTTTCAGAATCATTGGTATAGACTACACTTCTGCGGTTACAGAGTGGTCAGCTAATTTCACAAAGTATTGCCCGTGCGAAAAAGGCCAAGGACAAATAGATGTACGCGCCACATCATTATTGGAACGCCTCTCCAAATCAGATGTTGGCAATGATCGACCAGTCGTTTGGATTGGTCATTCCATGGGTGGCATACTCACCAAATTAATGCTTATGAAAGCCGTCGATGATCCCGATCCGAAAGTTAATCAAATAGCGAACAGCACATCCTCCATCCTCTTTCTGGGCACACCTCATCGTGGCTCATCTATTGCCAAATGGAAGCAACACATGCAAGTGATACTCTCCCCTTCCATTGAGGTAAAAGAAATGGAAGAAGGAGCACCGAAATTACTTGCAATGCACAATCGTTTTATGGCATGTTTACATACATGCTTCCGTAATGTTAAGGTTGTCACTATCGCCGAAGGGGCACCAACAATGTTGACATCCTTCAAATTTCCATTGCGCATCGTAACTGAGGATTCAGCGCGCCTTGACTACGGTGACTTTTACGTGCTAAAAGATGATCATCTTAGTCTGTCGAAACCGATTTTCCGTCAGTCATTCCTCTATCAACGTGTGCTTAAAGTGATCGAAGACTCGGTAAATAGAGACGACAGCCCAACCGAAAAGGTGGAACTACCTGGCACAAAATTCAAAATAGAACCCATCAAAACATCCGCGGAAAAATCTACAGAATCGTTTGAAGCCAGCAGTTTAGTGGATAAAGTGCGCAGTATTTTCTCGGCAGTTCCACATATCTCCATAAATATACCAAATGCGCATTGTGAACAATCAAGACGTGATTAAAACTAGTAAAACGAGAGTTTTCTGCTAATATTTTTGCCATCAGGCAGACACCTCGGCTATGTAATGTCAATTTTAAGCTAAACCACCAAGTATTTTATAAAAGTCATAGCTGAAGTAATAGTAATAATAATGACGCTTTTTGCACCCTTCTCATTGTAACACTCATCTCACCATGAATTTTTATACTTAAAATCATTAGTATTTTTTATCAGAACTATTATTTTCATACGCACATGTTTTATAGACTTGACAAAACAAAATTATGTTATATATATATATATATTTATAGATTTAGAATGTAAGTTTTGTACTTGAGCTTTTGGCTAAATACAAAATTCATACATATGTTTTTTTAGATACCAGTGAGAATAATTCTCTAGGAGCTTATCGAATTCGTGATAGTAAAGATAAGTACAGAAGACATTTCGCTCAAATAAAGCAATGAAGAAGCTTGTGAAAATAAATATGTAAATGTTTTATTTAAGGGGCACATGAGAATTTTTTTGTTTCAGTAAAGTGATATAAAAGCGAAAGAACGTATTATTCGAATGATCAGGATTTGATGAAAGAAGTATTAAAATTTACAGCTTGTTTATAAAATCCAAGGTTTCCATAAAAATTGTAGTAATAATAAACATTTTTACTTACAATTACTTCGAAACGTTATGCCTCCTCCGGTATGGTCTTTGTTAGATCTACAGTTGCGTTCGTCTGCTGTGCTAAACGTTCTTTTTTCGCATTTAACCTCTCCAATGCTATACGACGATTTTCTGCTATACGTGCCATTTGCTCTGCTGTTAGTTTGGGAGCAGGAGATGCCGGTTGAGACGGCGGTAGTGGACGCGCTAGGTCGCTGTCATTTAATTTATGGCCTGGGTGGGCGCTATTGGTATATGGTGTAGACATGACTGCATTACCGCGATTAAATGATGGTGTGTGTAAAGTACTGCTACTAGCGCCTGTAAACGTCGCGTCCATGCTATCAGCACCACCACTACTGTAATGTGCAGGCGTACGCGGTGCAATTTTAGAAATGGCAATTTGTTCACCCAACAATGCATCGAACTCGTCAAATGGTTCATCTGCTGCTGCATCTGCATCAACATCCTCCTCTTCGTCATGTGCTTTGTCACCCATGTTTTTCAAGTTTTCTAACATACCCAGACGATAACGTGACATATGTACTTGAAGAGATTTCTTCTTGCCAATACGTTCAATGTTTGTTAAGACATCGTCAAATTTGTAATTTGGATACATCCGATGTGCCCAATGTGTCATACGGCGCATCACTTCATCTAGGTCACGTTTTTCATGTCCTTTTCCTTTGAAACTAATATCTTTGAAATATTCTTCTAACGTATGTATGCCCCGCGGTCCCGTCAAAGTGTCCAGAGATAATTTTGGTCTTGGATTTCGCACTGTTCGCTTTTTTGGCTCAACTTTAATACCCGGTTGCGCGTCACCCGAGTTACCACCGGCTTCACCTTCTTCGCCAAAAAGATCTTCTCCACCCATGCCATTCTGCTCATTTTCTTCATCGCTTGGTAATTCATGTAAATTTCCATTAAGTAAATCTTCGACTATATTATCTTCATATGCTGAGGACATATTTATGTTTATTTGTTGATAACAATTAAATTTAATACAAAAGTATTCGCACAAGCTTTAAATATATAAACTTTAGAAATTGCGCCAAAAACAACAATCAACAGTGGTATCTTTTAATGATTGATAAAACTCACCACTTCATACTCTGTTAATAGTGTGATTCGTATTTTTAAAAATCGAAAACAATTGAATTTCTTTTTTTAGTATTGACTATTCTATAATAAGCAAAAAATTCGATATATGGAGGGTCAAAATAAAACATATTTCCCTGATTAAATTAAATAAACAGTTTTGAAACTAATAAGTTTTCTTCTTATTGGCAAGCCAAGTGGTTAGCAAGGCAGTACTGCCAACCTAAGTAGCATGCATGCGCAGCCGGTGGTGGACAAAAGCGTGATGCCAAAAATAAAAATAAACGTCGCTCTACTGTGTAAAATTTTCTTGTCCGATTTCAAATTAAAAATAAACGCAGAGAACCAAGTCAAATTCACATAGTAAATAGTTGTAAAGGTACCTGGATCAAATTTGCATCGGAAGTTAATAAAATTCTTTGTCGGGCAATTGTATTTCAACGTTAAATTGTCAAATCAATTTAAGCAGCAAAGCTATAAAATAGGAAATTTTGCACTGTGTTGAAAAGGTGGGCGAAATTACGCATTTCGTTTTGGCTTAATGGTGGATTCGAGAAAAAGAAACAAGTACAAAAAGAAATTGGCAAAATTGTGAAAACAAATATTCGTTCAACGCGTGGTGTTATGAAGAAACAGGCGAAGATAGTAAGCGATAATTCAATTGTAAAACATCAAAAATTTAAGCGGGTATCGAAAGAATAAATAAAATTTAGTAGAGTGGCAGTCAAAATGGAAAATAAGTGTAACAAAACTCCAAATGCCAACAATAAATATATGGATCATGTTTACTGTCACCCAACGGAAAGCAAGAACTACATTAGAGCTAATAACAATGCGGGGGGTGGTGGCGGCGCTGCATCAGTAGCAAATGCAGATTACTTGGCGCTTATAAAAGAAAACAAACAACTACGTGCTATGTTGATACTCCATTTGGACTTAATACAAGCTCAAAGTGATCAACTTCAAGTTAAGGACAAACAACTTGCAGCCCAAAATGAGGAAATTGATGGATTACGTTCAAAGAATCAGCAGCTTGAAACGCAAGTCCAGGAGTTACAGAAACAACTACAACGTCATATAAAACGAACGGCGAATTCGCCACCACCATTGGCAAAAATACAACGCAAAGCAGAACCCATGCTGGCAAGTCGTATGTCTCCTGTAACAACGGCAACAGTGGCAGCTCCTGGTGGACAAAATATTATAGGCGAGTGCAATGGTAAACTTATAAGTAAAATTATATTGCATCGTGTTAGTCTGCCTGATCATAGCCCGAATTCCACCACAACCGGTACTTCGGACACTACATCCGAGGCGGATGACAGTGCAGCTAGCAAGACACAAGCGGAACAAGATGAAAATGACGAATATGCAGAAGAAGAAGATGATGGTGACATGGAGGAAGCCGGCGAAACTACCGGTAATACCACCGAGGATAGTAACGATGTGGTTTCGGTACATTCTAAGCCGCTTGAACAGCAAGTAATGTCGCCTATACATGTCACGCGTGGTGCTAAACCTGTCTCTTATACACATCTAGAAGAAGAAGATGATGGTGACATGGAGGAAGCCGGCGAAACTACCGGTAATACCACCGAGGATAGTAACGATGTGGTTTCGGTACATTCTAAGCCGCTTGAACAGCAAGTAATGTCGCCTATACATGTCACGCGTGGTGCTAAACCTATCCGACAATTAACCACACCTGTAACAACAGTTCCGGCTACAACAAATGCTTCGATGCCTGCAGTACCATCTTTGGTCCCCACCATTACAACGACAACAACCACAACCCAAGTATGTGTTACGCCACCAACACCAAGTCGAGGCAAACAAATGCCGCTAATGTTGTGGCATGCACCAGATCTACAATCTGATGAATCTGCAAGCTGTGAATCCCTTGGTGAACACTCTGATCAGGTATATGCCCTCAAACTTAAATTTTATGATTTTATTTATTGCAACTTATTTATTTCAGCGATCTATGGTTGCATCGCCAGCTTCACCGAAAATTGAAAATCAGTCAAAGAAAGCAAAGAACATCACAACTCTTTCGCTACGCAGCAGTACACACTTACAAACTCAACTACGGCAAAACAAATCTCGTCGTTGTGCTTACATATCCACGGACCAGATGTATTGCACACGTGCATGGGAGGACGAAGAGATTGTGGCCGATGGCTATGAATTTATGAAGGAAGAAGTTGAAGCGCTACACGCTGATGCACCAATGTTAGAGATACCCAAATGGACAGAACACGAACTTACGGTATCCTATTGCATTGAGGGAACCGAAAATTTATCCGACGAAGCATTCCTTAAACGTCATGAAAAGTTAGAATTAGCGGAGAAGCGCCGAAAAAAATGGGATGTGCAGCAAATACGTGAACAGCGACGCATAGAAAAATTGAAGCGACGTCACTGCAAGGACGAAATCCAAATACCACCCGATCAACAACCGTTATTGAGTTTTTATCCACAACCGGACGCAATACAAACCATTTGCTTTACTAATGAACTACCTGTGCAGGCCTTTGGCGAGCTCGTACCAAAATTGAGTGCACTAAATGATTTCGACTTGCCATGGTTAGATGCATTGAATAGCACACGCACACCAGGATCATCAGCGACGGGGTCGATAGTCACATTGGCACATAGTCAAGCCGGCTCAAATATTTCGTCAGCGCAGGGGCAACAACAGTTATTAAACTCAACTTTTGTTTTTGTAAAAAAGCGCAAACGTCAACAAAGCGGTACAACTGGCGGCACAGGAAGCGCACAAACGACACGGCAGCGCGGTGCATTACGCAGGTCAGCGGCTGTAACAGCGACGCCAGCTGCGGCGGCAGAACAAACTGTGATAGCACAACCAGCCATGACGGAAACTGCGATATCAACGGCTTCGTCAGCATTACCTAATCGTAATTTGTCGACTGTAACAAATGAGAAAGTCAGCGAGGGACCGTCAAAGTAGTTAAACTTCTTCGCCGCTTTCAACAGCGTCTATATTTATATGTTTGAAAAATTTCGAAGCTACTTGCGGAACTCATGTTGGTCTGAGAAAAGTTAGAATTAATTTCTACTTGAATTGTGTTGCAACACCATGCATTAGCAATTTAATTTGTTTTTTTTCCTGTAATACTTCTTCTTTTACTACAATATCAACACATATGTATATACAAATTGTATATAAGAATTTATAATTTAATATGTTCATTGTTCATATTTTTGAACTTAATATAAAAAACAAAACCACCAATATAGGCATAAAAGTGCAGATCCACCTACTAGTTTTGGCATTTTTTTAAGCTAAAAATGAAACCCCTGCAACTAAGAACTCTACCAATTTAATGGACGTTGCGTTTAGAAGCTTACTTACGTTTGTAAATATTTTCGATTTATATATAAAAAATTATATAGCAGATTTATTTAGCACGTCTTGACAACGTAATATTTTTTTGTGTATGTCTAAATAGCTAACACAAAATTTTGAAACGATATAAAGTAATTTAGTGATAGCTTCAAAAGTAAAAAGTAGAAAATTCAAATATACGATATACATATGAAACGTACTTGAAGAAATGTAGCGCGAGATTTTTAAGCTTAAAACACAAATAACTGTGGTCCAAAAGTAGCTTAAATTTTTTTTTTTTTTTAGTATAATATTGGATAAGGCAAGAGAAAACCAAATTAGTGCCGAATAACTTGTATTTATGTGTGCGTACAATGTGTAGAGCGTGACAGTGGTCTAGAACGCCACTAAATTTTTAATTTATTTAACTTGAATTGTGTTATAAAAAACAATATTTTTTCTTTGGGTTTTGTGAAAAATAATGAAGAAATTTATTAAATGGGCATTATTCAATTGGATTTATTTTTCTGATAATATAATTTACACACTTTATATAAATACATACTATGTAGTGCTCGTACTGAATTGATAATAAATCTTCGACAGTTAAAGAAGAATAGTTGAGAAAATTTTTAGGAGCACATTTAATCTATTATTTTACAAGTTTATTTTGTGGACAAATTGCAAAAAAATTGCATTCTAATGCAACAAAAAACGTCTTAACACATACAAATGAAGATAATTTCTATTATATGTATATTTATAGTATTTAAAGTTATTTTACGTTTTCACTATAAATTAATTTGGCAATAAAGCGTGTGCAGTGAAAAGCCTGTTAGGGAATAAGCATGATATAAAATAATTAGTTGCTTTAAAACTTTACGAGACCAAAAAATTACAAAAAGTGCATTTTCGTAGACGAAATTTAGAGAGATACCAGTCAAATTAGTGTAAATATTATATAAATTATGTAAGTGGTGTGAACAACAGACTAAAGTTATAATAAAAATTTCATATTCAGTTAATGAACTCAATTTGCTCGAGCGTGTGGGCTTTTATTTTTTCAAATTCTGTTGTTGAACACCAAAAATATCATCTTTATTTATACTTGTTTGTTAACTATTACGAATTTGAAGTGTACACATAATATTTATTTTTTCTCTTGTGTTTAATAGATGTAAAGAATGTACGAGTAAAATTAAAAGTAATTGAATTATGTGTTTACACATGGAAAGCATGTTGTGGTACTTTTATTAAAAAGAAAAAAACTAGAATGCATAGAAGTCGCAATATGCTATAGTGAGTCGATCCGGACAATTTCCGCCTGTTTACATTTAGCCAAAAGTCCATAACCTTTGTGTACATTTAGCCAAATCAGCAACCTTGTTTACATAAGGAGGCAGTGACCCTTTTATTTACATTTTATTTGGTCAATGACCCTTTTTTTTAATTTGGCAAGGTCAATGACCCTTTGTTTACATTTTTTGAGGTCAGTGACCCCTTTGCTTACGTGTAGCCGAGTCCAGAACCTTTGTTTGCATTTTATAAGGTCAACGAACATTTGTTTACACTTTGCAAGATCAACAACCCCTTTATTTTACACCTCATGAGGTTAGTGACCCTTTTGTTTACATTTTGCCAACTCCACAACCTTTCTTTATATTTAGCCAAACCCACAACCTGGGATTTAATTTGGATTAAAATTTCAAATAAAATAGTTCTCAAACAAGCACTAGATTCCCATCGTTCAGTTTGTATGGCACTATAATAGTCGGATATCGGGGTCTTTCTTGAGAATAAAACGACGTGTGTAAAATTTCACTTCAATATCTCTAAAAATGATGGCTTATCCATAATATAAAGACAGACGGATATGAATAAATCGTGTCAGTTCATCAGAGTGATTGTTTTTATATAAATGTGGTTAATAGCTAGGACCAATATATTTTATAGGACTTTCGACGTTTTCTTCTGGGTTTTACAAACATCGTAACAAACTGAATATATCCTGTTTAAGTTAAGAAAAAAGAAAAAGTATAAAAAAAAGTTTTCATTAAATAATTTGATTTCAACCGTTCAGTTTGTACGGCAGCTATATGATACAGTGGTCCGACATATGAGGTCCCGACATTTGATTAGCTATTTTGATAGAAAAATACATATGCAGATATATATTTCAGATTGATAACTCCAATACTTAGGGGCAGAAAAGACAAAATATCAAAAATATAATATTTCTCCTATATGCTTTCTTTTATATACGTACATATATGAACGGTTTTATTTTTATAATAATTTTTTGCATAAATGCATGTATAATACTCGTATTACAGATTGACGTTACAAATTGACAAGTTACAACTTTAAAATTGACTCTGATTATATATATGATGTGCAGCTAGTATATACGCCATGTGCTATAGTCGGCGAATGATTGCACGAATCCGATTTGCTTTCAACGAATTATTTAACACTTTGCGTAAGATATTTATCAGCTGTTGTCTGCCATACTTCATCTATATCCGCGAAACGGTTACGCCACAATTCTTCAATAATTTTCCAACCTTCCTCTTGTGTTACCAAAACATATTCATTAGACGGATCCAAACTGTGCGTATATGCGCCCATAACGAGACTTTGCGCTAAACGAGCAGCTACGCAGTATTTCAATAGTAAACGTTCATCATTACTTATTGGACGTATATCGGTGTAACCGGCAAGGAAGTAACCACCGCTTTTTAGTGATTTTGCTTGCAATATCATATAAGTGAGGGCAATGCCGATTTCGAATATAATTGGCGATTTATTTGTATCACCAAAATCTATAATGCCTTTAACTTTGTATTCGCCGCTTGCGGAAGATTTCGATTGTTCAACAATGATATTTTGTTCATTATAATCGCCGTGTATGATTTGCTTCTCCAGTTCATCTATTTTATTGAGTACGTTACTTTCGAATGAGTCGATAATTTCCTCAACAATTGCTTTGCGATCGTGGTCCTGTAAAACATAGAGGAAATCTCTTAATTGTGGTATAGATTCCAACATCCATAGAGTTTTATGTGTATCATAGGCGTCGTGGTGGAAGTTCTGTGTGAAGTAAACAAAAGTAATTTAGACATAGATATGTATGTATATTTTTACGAAATTAAAATATATATACGTTACGCACTTTCAGCGCTCTGTCTATCTTAGCTATGTATTCTCCGCTCTTATATAGCAGATAATTGGATTTTTCTACTTCATGAAACATCTGGCCAGGTACAAACTCCAGCAGACGTACAACATAATCTGCGCCATTAATGTGCTCGACCGAAAAATATTTGCCATTCACATTAGTTATAGGTGTGGGACAAACGATACCTTCTTTGGCTAAGAGTAAATGAAGTAAAAATATTGTTATATTTTTAAATAATTTTATAAATTAACGAAAGTAGGTACATGGAAATCTTACACAAATAAATCATTAGTTGATTCTGCGCATCAATAAAGTCTGTCTTTTTCGAGTCTAACGCATTCAGAATTTTCAAAACATAACCATGCGGCCATGGCGTAGCGATAATTGGATTTTTTATATTCCTGAAAAAATTAAAAAATAAAGTGATACAAAACCTTTTGAAAATTGGAACTTTATACATACTACAGCTCTAAGTATTAACACTAAAGACTCAGAATACTCAATATCAGTTTTTAAGACATATCAACAACAAATTGTCTACCATTAATTACGATATATCTCATCTACATATATCTATGTAATTATTTTTAATTTTATTTTTTAAAATAGTCCGTTATTTTTAAACTTTTTAGAAAAGTTCATTGCAAATTTTGATAAAGAGCTTTTTCGCTTATTTATCGAATGATTAGTAAATCTGAACTGGCAATGCTGCTAAAAGCTTTGTAGTCAGCTGATTCGCAATGACAGTTGTTTCTTGGCGCCAAATGTAAACTGTTTTTCACATATACTTGACTACTTGATTTGTTTGTCTATAACAACAGTAGTTATCTTAAATTAGTATGAAATAATAATAATTAAAATATTCAAGTTGTGAATAGGACTTTTTGCGCTAAAATGGGCATTACGGGCCTTATCAAATTTCTGGGGAAAGCTTCATCAGATTTACATTTAAAGGATATACGGGGCAGCACCGTGGTGGTGGATACGTATTGTTGGTTGCACAAAGGCGCTTTCGGTTGTGCTGAAAAGTTGGCGAGAGGTGAAGATACCGACCAATATATGCAATATTGTATGAAGTATGTGGAGCTGCTGTTAAGTTATGATATCAAACCGATTTTGGTATTCGATGGCAGACACTTGCCTGCGAAAGAACTAACTGAACGACGGCGACGGGAAAGCCGAAAGCAATCACGCGAAATGGCTTCAGCATTGCTCCGTGCTGGAGACAAGGAAGGTGCACGTTCACATATGCGTCGATGTGTTGATGTAACACATGAAATGGCCTTGCGTGTAATACGTGAATGTCGGCTGCGAAATGTCGATTGCATAGTGGCACCGTATGAAGCGGATGCACAAATGGCCTGGTTAAATAAAATCGGTGTGGCGCAATATGTTATAACCGAAGATTCCGATTTGACATTATTTGGTGCAAATAAAATAATATTCAAGCTGGACTTGAATGGCACTGGATCACTCGTGGAAGCAGACAAATTTTATTTGGCAATGGGGTGTAAAAGGGAGAACTACAATTTTGAGAAATTTAGGCGCATGTGCATACTGTCAGGTTGTGATTATTTAGATTCGCTTCCGGGTATTGGATTAATGAAGGCGTGTAAATTTATACTTATGACGGAACAAGATGATATGTGGAAAGCACTGCGAAAAATACCGGCTTACTTGAAAATGAAAAATTTACAGGTACGTAATATTAAAAATGAAATTGGCTGCAAAATTTTTAGCCAAAATTAAAAATTATTTTCCATTTATAGGTGGATGACGAATACATTGAACAGTTCCATAAAGCGGAAGCAACATTTAAGCATATGTTTATCTATAACCCGTTTGAACGGCGTATGGAACGCTTAAATGAACTCACCGAAAACAGCTTAGAAGGACGCTACTGCTCCAACGCAGGTGTAATAATTGACGACCAAGAACGCGCTTTACAGCTTGCGTTAGGAAACTTAAACCCATTTACATTTAAACAGTTAGACAACTGGCATCCGGATAGGAATTATGGATTTGCGCAGGTAACGAACAATAAAATCAAACGCGCCAAACATAAAAGCATTTGGCAAGAAAAATATCAAGCATTTTCCAACGGTCATATTTCGAAGGATGTGGTGAAGGACGACAAATGTGCATTGGATTTTAGAACAGTAGATTTTTCAACTAAATTTATTAACGAAGAAATTACCGAAAATGCACGGGCGGAGCGCGCCAAACCTGAAGAAGCCGAAATTTTTTCTATGTATCAATATAAGGCTACCGAGCTAGAAGAGCCAAGTGCCAAGCGGCGACGATATAGTAGCGAAAGCAATAATGATTATGCTGATGAACAGAAAAAATCAGAAGCAACACAAAATGTGGTTTTAACACACAATAATCATAATCCTTTTGCCAAATTACAATGTATGGAAGTAGCGAAAAGTGCCAAAACCGTTTGTGAAAATTCATCTTTGTTGAAAATACTCAGCCCTAAGAAAGCGAGTTGTGAAGCTAATTTAAGGAAGAATTTTCCCTTAAAGAGTCCTAAAAGTCCGTTAGATAGATTGCAGGAAACGGCTATAGTTAAAAGTCGATTTTTTTCGAACAATGTCAACGAAGTCAGCAGAATCAAAAAAAATGTAAGCAGAGATTTAACTGCTGAAATAAATTCAATAGAAAAGCAATCGTACCAAAAGGAGGAAAAACTAGCATTGCTCTATGACTCACCATCGCCGAAGAAAAATTTACTTGGAGAATTTAGCGCTGCCATGAAAAATGAAAAAAATTTTAGTATTATCAAAAAAGAACACAAAAGCTGCGTAAACGATGATGAAGTGTTAGAAGAAGACGTCACTAGTACCTGCGCTTTGAAATTAAATACTAGCTTTATTGCAGGTGATATTATAGATAATGAGTGTAAAAATAGTATAGATAATGCTATAACGATATCCGATGAAGAAGATAATGATAACAGCAAATACGAAAATTCTAGTCAAACAATAACACCAACAGCACAAAAGTCCAACAATTCGACAATGTTTTTCAAATCGCAAGAGAAACAACGCTTGGGTTTAACGCGTACGAAATCCAAATCGACATTGAAAGCACAAAAGACAAATGGAAAATCTAAATCGAATTCCACGATTACCACAACAACCGCTATGTTGCAGAGTCAAACGCGTTTAACTATGTTTGGCTTCCAAAAACGACCCACTTTGAAGTAGTGTTGTAAGCATTAATGTTTTGTATATGTATAGTTTTGATATGTACGTTTATATGCGTTAATGTTACATAGTATTTTCTACTATTTATTTTGTGTATTATCTGTTATATAATAAGTATTAGAGTGAAGTTAGCCTAATTTAATTTACGTTTCATTATAGTCTAGAAAATTATGTGTGTGGTTGATTATCAATCATATCTTTGTTAAATCGTTAGGTAAATAAAGGCTAAGAAATCAACATTGATATAAATTTAATTTTTATACAATATCAAAATTTGTGTGTGCTTACTTTGGAGACAAAATAGATATATTTGAAATATCAGAAACTTCAGAAGTATAAACGTGTTATTTGTAAATCCAGAAATAGTTGATATTCCTTTTTTAGATTAGATTAGATTTCAAAAAGAAAGACAAGCTCAAAAATAATAACTATATAACTACAAATAGCTAAACGATTTTTTCATTCGTAATATACTTTATATTGCTATTTGCCAATTCCATAGCACTTGTAAGTAAACTTTCGGACTTGCTGTTACATTCTTACATACATATATTATTATCTCGGTCGGCGGCTAAATTTATGAGTGGCGATTTGGAATATAAATAGTATATATGTATATGCATGGGGCAAATTATGTAAATATATATGCATACATACTACGTGTAAATAGAAATGATAAGTAATCGGTCACGTTCGATTGTCTGCTATAATTGCAATGAAAAAAGTTATACACCATCAACAAATTAACCGTCAATGAAGATACATACATACGTATAAATATATGTGCATTGGTGCATACGAGTGTATGGATTTGTATATCTTAAAATATTTGTGTCATGTAAACTTGCGTAAAGGGGTACAATACGTAAGTCTATATACTTACATACATATGTATATGCATATGAAAGTGCAGTCATATGTGGTCACAAGTAAACTGTTCTACAAGTATAATTTTCTTGCAAATAATATTTGTAAATATTAATAATTAGAAGCTGTTTGATGAAAGGTGCATGAAAGGTATTTTCGCTGCGGCGTTACAGCTATAAAAAATGTTTTACGGCTTACCGGGTGATGGTCACGTGCCTGCCACTGAAGGGAGTTTGTAAGTTATACAATATATGTATGTACATATACACCATAACATCATTTATAATAAATTTACCCACGAATATAGGCTTTAGGTAACACAAATATATACTTTAATGCTTTATGCTATCTTTTTAAAGCTAAACGAAATTAAAGAACTCTAATGTGAAAAATATTCGTAATATTTTTGGAGATGGTGCTTTCGTAAGTACCTATAAATATGTATGTATATATGTATATTGTAGCTGCAATTTAGGCTGATGTAACTTTTTTAAGCATTTTTTCAATAAAAAATATTATATTGTAATTTTAGTGCTTACCAGTCCGGTTGTATAAGATAATTGCGATCATCATATGATATCAACTCTTTGATCTCATTAATTGTTATGCCATAGAGACGTCGTACTAACGATTCCACATTTTCAGCTGTCACTTTTGGCTTAATATTTGAGCCTGGCTGTAATAATTCACTTGTATTCGCATTATTAGAGTCATTGTTGTCATTATCATTATTATCGGCTGCGTTCGACGCGTCGCTGTTATTATTCGCCACAACGCATTTATTAGCTAAATCATATTCATGATTTAATGTATAGGATTTCTTCCTTAAGCTAGTCAATTCCACATTATTCCACTGTTCCATGATGTATGTAAAATAGCAGTGTTTCTCTTTAGACTCGTGACTTAGAATTTTAATTCGGTAATTTTGCGTCAGCCCTCTGAATTGAAAATGAAAAATTAGCGCAATATTTGAAAAATAAATGTATATAATAAGCTTGCTGCCTCTAGGCACTTTACTGCTCACCGGTACAAATGCGAATGCTACTCACACATGTATGTCTCAAATGATATTCCGTGTTTCCCTCGCTCTTCATACAGCTAAACGCAGAGGTTGTTGTTTGCTTGTTGTTTAATAAACTTCGTTGTTGTTGTTATTTTAAGTAATTTTTTATTTAGTTTTTTATTTTGTGTACTTCATTTGTTGAACTCTTATTGTTAAAGTTGTTTATCTTTGCTTCATTTTAACTCTCTCCACGACGCTTCTGTCTCACTGAAGCTGCTTTGATCCATATAGCCTCATATGGGTTGAACGATGTTTGCATTGCTTGCATGAACAATTTGACTGTAGATCAGAATGCAAAATATCAACGTTAAATTGTTACTGCTCATATGAGATACTCATCATCTCTCTTGAGTGTGTGTGCTAAGTAAATGTATAATTGTATGTACATATATCTATAGATTTTAAATATATTTGTGTATAAAAGCCGAAACCTCTTTCTAAGTAATGAAAGTTGATTTTGTTTGTGTGGACATTGCGTTTAAAAAGATAATTGATTAGTTTTGAATGCAAGTAAGTAAAATGTCAACAAAATATCATTGTGTAAATATTTTCAAACAAACGTTAAATAATAAGTCATAAGTGTCGAGTCGTAGGAGTAGGTGAAATTGTCTCATGTTTGTATGCTCATGTACATATATATGCATATATCAGTAAGTATGACAAACATTATTCTCCTCAAATTGTTTGTGTGTAGTAGTTGGTTAAGAAGTTAAATCATCTCAACTTTTATATATAAACGTAGCTATTTACGGATATGCAAGATTCTCCCCAAGTATTATGAGCACTAATAGAATTAAATCGTTAAGCTTTAAGTGAAATTAGATTATATGGTTGTTATTGTTATTGTAGCGGTAATCTAAACTCTATTTGGAGGAAAGTAAATTAGATTATCATAAGTGTCGGTTGTTAGTGCCAGTTTTGACATGATTTAACTACATAATATAAGAACGATATTTGAATTTTGCTCAGAAGATATATTCCATAACAGAGAAGAATAAAGGATAGCAAATAATTAAGGTAAAAAGAAGTTGTAAAAAAAATTTACAATTGTAGGAATTGTTTTGTTAATTTAAGTTTAAAAAGAGAAATATTTGCAGTTCTTACAAAATCCACACCCCTGATATTAAATGAACCAAAGCACATATACTCTCCCGTTAGAAAACTACTAGTCTACATACCTTAATTAAGATCATGATAAATGTTAATATTTAAATAATAATAAATATTTAAATATAATAAGTGATAAAACTCGTTCCATTGCAATAACTGCTTTTATTTGCATTTTCGTCCATACTTACTCTAATTTGTTTGCATTTCCAATAAAAATGCACATTTGTAGATATCCAGTTTGTGGCCGTCTTTGCGTAACGTGCAGATATGTGACAGCATAGTTTTACCCATAAAGCTATTTACCGCAAATACTTTTAAATATATAAAGCAATTTAAGAAAAATATATTTTTATTTCATTTTTATTTACTGCATTTGTAATCTGTTGTTATGGGGGTAACAGCTGATATAACAAAAACAATAAAAGCTTTCCGCTTTGACATTCTAGCCGATTTTACAAAGCACACAACCCTGTTCAAAATATTTTTTTAAATTGTTTCCCTTTGCATGTGAAAATAATGAAAACTAATTAAAATATGTGCAATGATCAGAAAATATAAAAACAAACAAAAATTTTTTAGAAACTCTGAAATATAAATATACATCTTAAAACTAAGTATGCCTGTCATAATGCAACCCTTCTATTGTATGCATTCCGTTGTTCTTCTGCACATATGACTTTTTGTATGTAAACATAACCAAAAAAAATAGACTAAATTCATTTTAAGCGCCTTTTAAATTGGCAGAAGTCTTCCGAAATATAATTTTAATAATCAGCCACAATGGATCAATTATATATTGAAATTGAAATAAATACACGTAATGATAATACAGAAATATATAGCAGTATAGAGTCTTTTATGGCTTTATATGTGTACCGGTACTTGCAATCGCCTTCAAACATTAAATTGAATTTCGTGCGGACAACCATTCAGGGGGGCAAACTTCGTTTACGTTCAGAATACCTTAGACGTGAGTTAACTGAAGAGAAAATTCATTGCAAAAATGCAACAAGTGTAGAGGCCATAAGAGACCTGAGACTGCCTATCTATGCAAAAGACGAAAATACCTTTATCGCCGGTATGTGCGCTGTTTGCAGGGAACTTGTAGCGCGGCAGGAATGCCTAGAACGACGCAAGTTATTGGGTTTTAAAAGTGCTTGTTTGCTGGTACCAGCAGAATCTTCTATTTGGACACGATTTTGTGAAGTTGATATCGTGGATGCCATGAATCGGTTATTGAGTACCTTGCAGTCGGGTGGTAGCTTGGACGAAATTCCGAAAGAAGTACCACGATTTGAACGACACATGAACGAACCAGTACGAATGCATAATATTTACAAAACCGCCCGTGAGCAGGCAAAACAACAGAATTCTGGTGCTGGAACAAAAAAGAAAAACAAAGTAATACTCGATTGTAGAGTACCTAAAGAGAAGTTACCAATTGAACATCGGTTTGCTGAAGGCATTAGTTTTACCATTGCAGATATAATTTTATATACGTTCATGCGTTTAATATTTAAATATTGCAAAGATATGCTACTGCTTTTTCCATTAACCTCTACATGGCTTAGTGAGGTAATCTTAAAAATACTTATTTGTTGATTGATAATTAATTTTTCATATTTTTTATACAGATTGACATTTTTGATCCCAGTTGTTATCGCATATTGAACGAATTGTATCTGCATGAACAACGTTATGAATCATCAACTCTACTTACTATACCAGATTGTGAACCTGCCAGCCTTTATAAGAGCGATCCGAAGCGCTATAAACCTCGAAACCGAATCTATACTGAGCAAAGTGAAGTAGATGCTGCATTGACTAAATTAGAAAAGTTGCAGCTGCAGTTTAGTAGTGAATCCACAAATACATATGAGAAAAATCATATCGATTGGGAAGTAATAGAACCTGATCAAGAAAAAAATTCGGCATTACCACGCGAACGTATTATACGTAAACGTCAGCAATTACAGAATGTAGCTAATGCAGTGGTCTCATTAGCAATACCAGGCAATAGAATCATTGATTTTTGCAGCGGCACAGGTCATTTAGGCATATTGTTAGCTTTACAATTACCAGACTGCATAATTATATTGATGGAAAACAAGGCAATATCTTTGGAGCGAGCAAAATTGCGGGCCAAAAAATTAGGTCTGATAAATTGTCGCTTTTATCAGTGCAATATTGATTATTTCGAGGGACATTTTGATGTTGGTACATCATTGCATGCTTGTGGCACCGCGACGGATATAGTACTTCAGCAGTGTCGTCGATCGCGTGCAGGATTTGTTTGCTGTCCTTGTTGTTATGGATCACTGCAACCAATGCCACACATCACATATCCGTTAAGCGAATGCTTCCGGTCAACATTGACCGAAAGAGATTATTTGTATATAGCGCATACGGCCGACCAAGCCCATGAGTTGGGTACCTTAAATTGTCGTCCAGAAACTACACGTCAAGGGCAGTTGTGTATGGATATAATTGATACAGATCGTAAACGGCAAGCTGAAGAAGTCGGATATGATGTAATTCTGACTCGCTTAAAGCCAGAACAATGTACGCCTAAAAATCGTTTGTTGGTCGGACGTATTACGAAAGATAGCTGACATATAATATGTTTGTATTAAGTTACTGATGACTACGACATTTTTTTGTTAAGACTCTTTTACCAAGTAAATGTATCAGTTTTTATTAGAAAATTGTTTTCCTTTTATTTCTCCAAGAAAGCTCAAACATCATATCATTGAGATTATATCTATGAAAATCGAATTTTTGTGGGACACGCACTCAAATATTCATGTTTTAGCTTCACAACATTTATGCATTTCCATTATTTAAATTTTGTTATTTTATTTTTTCTATGCCTTAATTAAGTATAGTCCACCGCGCAACGCTAGAACCAAATGGAGCACTGAGCCACCTTGCACTTTGTAATCGGCGGCGGTTTTGTCGTCATTCCTAAAATACAAAAGTAAAATATTTTTACAGTATATAATATGCACAAATCCTAAAACTATTATTCCTATTACAAATTTTAGAACACAATACAAGTTCAAGTTTATAGCGTTAAATTTTGCATAAGTCTTCAATCATACATACAGACTTTTACTATATGTTAGTAAATTAACATATATTCAACTTACATTTGCTTGCCAGAGAAAATAAGTCGCTGTTGCTGTGGTGGTATTCCTTCTTTCTCCTCTACTCGCTCCTTGATTCTATCCACTTTGTCTGTAGGCTCAATGTCGATTTCTATTTCCTTGCCGGTTAGTGTCTAATGTCAATTATATTTATGGACAATAATTATTAGTCAAGCAATTATGATTTTTGATTCAAATATTTGTATTTGGCGAACCTAAAGTGATGATTCGCAAATTCTGTCGCATTCATAAAATGAAACACTTTTACTCACCTTTACTTTAATCAACATGTTGCGTACTAAAATAAGATAATTGCTTGAGCTTTTCTCGAAATGATAATCAGAATGTTTTGATTTTCTAACTTTATTTCTCTATTGGCGTACACCTTTCTATTTTTGCACAAAATTTACCGCTACCGCTTTTCCAAAAATAATGTGTAAAGGCAATTGGAATGACATTTGGTAGCTATAGTTGTTGCTCTATTGCGAAATGGCAAAACGTTACTAGAAGACAGGGTGGTATATATAATTCTTTTTGAGTACGTTAATATTGATTCGAATGACGATTATTAAAGTAATTACTATGAAATAATTATTACAGAAAAGCATATATATTTTAACATTTTAGAAGGCAGCCTGAAATTAGGCATTTATTTCTGTCGAAATAAAAATTCAGTTCTTAGTTCCAAGTGTACGTTGGCTAAACAGTTAACGGTCTAAACACCATATTATTATAAGTATAGGCAACAAGGACTAATATGGGAATAAATTTAAAAAAGCAAGTACAAAAATAGTTTTTTTATTTATTTAAAATAAAAAATTGGTATAAAATTATTTTCTTATACATTTCTCTACATAATTTAACTATTATAAGATCAACGTTCTTTGTATGGACTAAATTAATCTGGTTAATTTATTTTGTGCTTCTACACTTTCTGAAATTAGACGAATGTCTCTGGCATATGAACGACAGCAGCCACCGATGATTTTCGCACCCAGTTTAGACCATTCAGGCACGTAGCTTGCCAGTGGTACGCAATGTTCGCGCCCTTGCCAACCCTTCGATACATCGTAAACTTCTCCGCTGTTCGGATACACAACCAGTGGAATCTTCTCGGCATCAGGTGTGTTACCGTTTAAACTTTTGAACAATGGTGTAACAAACTATAAGTGAATAAGAAAATATTTATAAATTATAAATTAAAAAATGTTAATATAAGAAATTTACTCCGGGATGCACGCAATTAACACCTATTGCCAAGCATTTACTTCGTGCGTTGCGTTCTCCTAATAGTTCCCACAACGAGCGTGCTACATCTGCAAAGTTTTCCCCATGCGCTAAAGTGTTTTCATCCTTACATTGATAAGCTATCCAATATTTAACATCTGGATAATCATCACACAACATTTCTACTAACGCTTCCGCTTCAGCCTGACAGGGGATTGTCTCGATGGCTAACGCATCAACGCCAGCTGCTAAACAAGCATCAATACGTGTACGATGCCAATCGGTAATCTCTTTCAGCGTAATATGGTCTACATAATCGCCAGTGTATTCCGAGCCGTCATGCAAATGGGCGCCATATGGGCCGATTGAAGCCAATATGAGAGGGAAACCTGAAAACAGAAATAAGTACAGAGTGACCATTTTTGTAAAGTTTCCGTTTCCGAAAGTTCAAATAAAAAACTATGTGCAGTGAACGTCCGTTTCCGTTCCGTTCTGTTCCGTTTCACAATTGTACGCGCTTAATCGATAGCTTTAAAATTATAACGCGTGTGGTTTATTTTCATGTGTAGAATTAGTGAAATATTATAATGTTAATTATGTTAACATACCATCGGGTACGTGCACTTTCGCTTCGCAACATTCCGCCAAGTATTTGTCTTTAGCAATATGCGCTAAACGCACTGTTTTCTTCATCAACTCAATGCTTTGCTCAACATCCAAGTCCAAGTACTCAACATAACCTTCAACACTGCACTGGTAAGTGTTAGTCAGTATGATATCGGCACCATCTATAAATATGTATATGTACWTATTTGTTGGTATGTTAAACATTTATTTATTTTAAATGGTTTTAGTATTTAAATGCATGTATAGGTATGTATGCATGTACGTGTATTTGCTGGTATATTTCTGCTGTTACAAAATCACCATATCAACGCTCAAAGTTATTTTAATATAAATAATTTAATATACTATACGTACATCCATACATATTAACAAACATGAATATATTATACTCCATTTGACAAGAAAAAAACAAAAAAACTTCACTTACTTTGCAAAAAATCTAAATGTGTATTGATAACAGCCGCTGGATTCGTAGCGTTAAATCTAGCGCTCCATAGCGGATCGCCATCAACGGCGTTGCCAACATGCACCGTCATTTGTGTGCCAAAACCGCCATCTTTGGTCAGTATCCGTGTTGGGCCCATATTAAGAGAAGTTTAACTGAAAAAAATTCAATTTATTTCAAGCTCGTATTAAATTATGCATAATATATATTAATTTTACGATTTTTACAACGAAAATAATATATATTTATAAAAGGCCGCAAACTATATACATATCTATGTCTATATGTAAGTGCTTACACTACAAACACATAGATACGTATGTAATAACTATAAAAATGCATGCAAATATATATTTTATTTATTTTCAAGTTAAATTTTCGCAACCAACCATTTCATAAAATTTTTTCGGACTGCAAAGAAATCTACCTATCACCTATTTTAATCCAAATCTTTATTATCTCTTTCAAAATAAGCCCATATTTAATCCAATTTTCCATACACTTGTTATAGGCCTCGGCTGATCTTCATGTGCCTTCAATGTAGATTTTTCTGTTTTTTTTTTCTCATTTTTGGAGCTCCATTCGCTAGATTGTTAGGCAGTTTCAACGTCACATTCATAAACCAAAGTCTACCAGGAATAATGCATTTGGTGAATACAGGGTCCTCAGCTACGTTGTCAAGAACTTTTTTGCGACCTTTACAAGTAGCATTGACACGTTCCACACCCACAGAGGTGTTGAGATCCTTTGCTATATTTCTGGAGATCAGACTTCACACGAACATAAAAAAGATTGTACCGATCTTTTATTTTTTTATCGACAGATTAAAAGGACTAGTCCGGTCAAATTTGATCAGAGATGTGTATATATATTGTATGTAGGTCTTTATGCCCATCATTAGCATTGATATAAAATCGTCAGAAATGCATACCATATATGCAAGGTAGCGTGAATCTCTCAGCAATCTCACCAATCACTCTAAACAGGGCACTGTCAGACGTGTCATCTTTCTTGTTTGTTGATTTTTTTAATTCTGTTTGCAACTTGTCTTTTTGAATTTTTGTAATGTAGGTCATGTTTGAACTCAATTCTTCAAGACCACTGTCACTTTTTAAATAATGTATCAGTATACGACGCACCATTCTTTTATTTTTGGCAAAATGTGTATATGTGTATGTTCGTATGCAAATATTGTTTATTTGAGAAAGAATGTGCATCTTTGCATCTATTTATATTATATGTATATATATTTTATTGTGTAGTACGCTGAAATAATCTAAAGCAAGTGCAATGAACTTAAACCACTTTGTTGTTAGGAGCATTCACACAATGATATACTATAAAGGTTCCTATGCAGTGTTCATGAACTTTGCTGCTTGAGCTACATAGTATGTGTGGTTATTGTTGTGATGATGATAACTGTTGCTAGGTTATATTTATATACGTTGCAGGTTTCTTTACAAAATTTGCATTCAAATCGGATCCCTTTCAACATTTCAGATGTCTATGATTTGAGTTAAATTTCTTTAATTTCTAATGATGATGATAGATTTCTGTCGCAGTTTTAATTATAAAAAAAAAAAAAAAAATCGAAACTGAAAGTGATATAAAGTATTATTAAAGTTGTTTAACTTTTTTATTAAAATTTTCCAAACCGAAACTGAATTAAGTGTTTATTATAAAAAAAAAGATGTTTAAATTATTTAAAATGATTTTTTATTATATACACTTCATATTCCATGTATACCCCTTCGAAATTTTTTATTTGCGTATGGCATACTAACCACATATATTTTCAATGTAAATTAACCACCTCCCTAAATATGCCTATAAAAATGTAATGCTTAGCAACAATTTTTTTTTTTGTGTTTACAAGCATATTACATATGATAACATCGGTTTTATGTAGCCATCTGTTCACTTACAAAATATTCGGGTCAATATTTATGCATATGTATATAATCTATTTTCGATTAAACATTTTCGGATTTGGCGTCATAAAATCGCAAATGATTTTCGCCGGTAATAATAGTGAGTAGCAAGCTTCTAGGCCATTAAAACTATCATGTTAATATTATGAGTTCAACTCGAGAAACATTTGTTGTCTTTATTAATTCTAACTAAACAACATAATATCAGCCAATAATATACTGTGTGGATCTCAAATTCAGCATCTTATCTATTGATTTCAATAGATTATGGTATGACGCTTATGATAGTTGTATAAATTATCCATTTCCGAACATATTATCTTTTCGAAATATGTGTTTTTTTTCATAACACTACGCGAGTAGTTTAGCGTGAGACTTTTTCAAAAGAAGCATTGATTGATATATTTATGTGAATACTCGTACAATAATTTTTTGTTGCTACTACTCAGTTTAACTAAACAATGGGCTTAGTTTTCTGCAAATTCATAACTTCAGACAACCATCCGTTTGAGAACCTTCATTATAGAAAGAAAATGATATTAAAAAAAAAAAAAATCCTAAACCCGTAGTTTCGCATTTATTTACTTTGAAACCCTAGTTTTAGAGATATTTCAACTGCAGAGGTCTATGAATATATTTATTTACGTTTCTAATAGCTTTCTCAATTTCGTCAAGCGTTGGAGAGTAGTGAATCGAACAAACTATATCGGTTGTTCAAAGAAATTGGATCTTTATTTGATGAAGATGTATTTTTTCGGGTCAAAAATTATTCAGTAATCTTTTAGTTTCAATCCTTCCGATTTTTATAAGCAACTATAATTTATTTCAAGTCTCAAAACAATAAAAAAATATTCTGAAAACAATAAAAAAAATGTGTGCATTTGTAAATTTGAGAGTAATTTGTCAAATGAACCATTCACAGCGGCAAATGTGGTCGAAAATGCGTAAACAAAATTGGGTAGTATTGAAGATACCGTTTATATCACTTTAATAAGGCAATCTCATACGCTTTTTGAGCAATTCAAATCGATAACTTTGTTGCTTTTACATGTATTGGCAAAAGAGCAGCGCTCAAGGAAGTGGTGATCGAAGACTGCTAATATGAAGTAAATTAAAACATGAGAACGTTTTTCGAGCAACAAGCTTATGACCCAAAATTTGAATAAACACTGTAAGAAAACTGTTCGCAGTACCTCCTGTTAGAAAAGTTATATAAATCTTGTAACTAAGATGTCAACAACGTTCTGTCCCTGTCATGTTAATTGAAAATCGAATTTACGAATCGTTACTCATACGACATGTCTTCCTATTATACTCCATTTTAGACTCAGTATGCATGTTATTTACATATAGATTGAAATATATGGAAATATAGGTTTTTTCGTACATACCATCAAGTTAGGTTTTACTCAAATGCGTGTGTATTTATTAAGAAATTTCAAGATTTTGTTGACACAATACGGATGATATAACATTACTACTATATATTGTCATTATATGTATTTAGTGGTGTAACAAATAGCTCGCTTTTAAGGAGTTACATATGTAGGTTTATGGGTTTCAAAAAGTCGATTTTTTATTGTCTTTTCAAATTTAACAACGTCTCCAGAATATTGTCGTAAATTTTCAAGTTGATCCGAGTAACGGCTAAGTGTGCCGTCTTTAAACTGTTTATTTTTGAAGTCGGTTGGCAAGATTTCTAGAGGACTACTCAACCGATTTTCATGAAATTTTACACAGGTCTTTTGGATTACAACTATTTGAAAAAAGTCGCGAAGTTTTAATTTTTTTGCAAAAATGTCTGCCAAAAATAGAATTTTCAGTTTTTTTCCTTTCGTCCAAATTCTAAGTTAAGCTTTTAACTAAAACACAAATTTTTTCACTTTAGATGATTCTGTTAGCAGTTATCTTGCCAACGCGGGTGTATCTTTTTCTGAATGGTTGGTCACCGGAAATGGCGTCGCAATGGCCGAGTTTAAAATTTTTTTTCCAAAAATTTCAGAATTTCACAGCACCGTTCTTGTTTTACTTAAATAGAGTCAGCTGGCGGTCAGCTTCCCGCGAAATTATCTCGTGACTTTCAAATCACACCACATCGTGGCCTCACCTAAGCACTGGCCAAGCACTGTGCCTACTTTACTTATATAGAGCCTGCTGGCGGCCAGCTTCCCGCCAAATTATCACATCGCGGCGCGAGAGTCACCTGAGAATTGGCCAGGCACTGTGCCTGCTTTGTTTATATAGAGCCAGTTGGCGGCCAGTTTGCCGCGAAGTTTACTAGTGACTTTCAAATCACATCCCAACGCGGCGCGACATTCATCTTAGCACTGGACAGGCACTGTGCCTGCTTTACTTATATAGCTTTACCTTCAAATCACATCACAACGCGGCGCGAGACTCACCTGTGACTTTAAAAAAAAGGTTGTTTTTACCCGAATAAACCCATGTAACCCCTTAAGTACTGTGACTGTAAAGCTTACGCTTCTTTGTGATTTTTCGCAAGTGATTTCTATAGACAGATGTGCAGAGTCTCTGCTGATACTATTTTGTTGCATTTTAATATATTTTCCTATAGTATATAGTAACAACCTCAATCCTCTAACTGGGTTTCTGCTATATGAAAGTATATCCTGCCTAGGTGCCTTCAATTAAAGACGTTTATAAAATTCGAGTACTTTTTTTGACTAGAAAACCCACCTTTGTGAAACATTTGAAGGAAAAACCCGGCTTTTAATTTAATTATAATTATTAGTGCACTTGTTTTTTCTAAGATAATGCAATTCCGAGCTAACATATGCTCTCGACATCTCTGAGGCTGATATATTCAAAAATTTAATGATATATTTAAAACTTAACAGTAAAAAAAGGTTACATTATCACACTTCAAAATAAAAATAAAATTATAAAAACACAACTATATCTATATATGTATATTTTCACTTTTCATATGCATTATTTACAAAAAGCTCGAATGCACTTATAAATAGTATATACATATGTACGTAAATACTAATTTTAAAATTTGAGATTCTATTACTTACCCCGATGTTGGCGCGTATATAGTATATGTATGCGTGTTATAAATTTATTTTATAATTTAGTTTTTGTTTGTTTTAGTCTTTCTTTATGCGTGCTTATCTGCGCTATTGTTTAACAACACTTTAGTGACTTGCAACGTTGAATTGATAATTGAAAATAAAAAACACTGTGCATGTGAGTGTGTGTGTTGATCTTTTATTTTATTGATACGGTAGTTAAAAGTATGAGTTCGTGTTGTGCTTATTCAGTACAGATGGCAATTACGGTGCTCACAAAATAATTGAAGTAAAAAATTGTCTTTCCTTTATTTGCTGTTGTTGTTGTTCAACTTTACAGTTCTATATAAAATTACTTTACAGTTTCACTATTTCCAATAACTTTTTGTTAATTTATTTTGTCTAATGTTTTTCAATATGCACACTATTTTTCAGTTACAGTTGAAATAGTGGTTCCTCACTGCTGCTGCTGTAGGGAATTATTTAATGAAAATCGCCTCTTGCGTTTGTCACCGTTTGTTTATATTTTTGGAATTTCAAAATAAAATTCTCACGTCCTAACAGATGTGCGGTCCGTGTACATCTATTTCGATTTGCATATAGCACATGGATTTTATAACGCCAGCGTCGGTTATTGTACGCGTACGTCGCTATACATGTATAATAGAGACTAGTCGAATATGGTGTACATCTGGCAGTGAGTTGTAGACGATAGGTTATATACTACCACATACTTATACATAAAAATTGTGGCCTGCGAGAATAATGTTAATCATTTGATCGTTTTTATGATAATAAGCCCGCAGAATGAAGTTTCTGTCATTTTCTTATGTGCAGTGTGCCAAAACCATTGTAAACAAATTTATATATATTATTTTGTATCATTCTCAAAAACATAGGTATTTCGAAATTATTAACTCAATCGATGTGAAAAATCCAAGAATTTTCTGCCCACGAATTTGCCCGTTTACGACGAATTGCTTCACGTGGATGATTCAAAACGGCCAAGTAGCATTCCTTATTAATGTTTAACTCTGCAGTTCGAATCGATTTGCATGCGGAGATTCAAAGGACCAGTTCGAGTCAAATTTTATCACTTGGCTTATGTTGTAGAGCAGAATAGGGTATATTGAATTCCTAAAAGTAAACGTCAGAGACCCTATAAAATATACATTTAGTTCCTAAGGAATCGATCGATTTCGCACCCGTCCTTTTCTCACCAAAAAGCTGTCATTTGTCGATATCGGACTCCTTAGCATATGAATCCATTTAACTAAACGATGGAAAACCTTATTCATTTGGCGTGATATTAAAAAAAAAACTTGCCACTATTTATTGCCTAAGGCAATGGTGTAATCTCCCAAGAAATCGAGTTACTGTAGCATATAGCTGCCATATAAACTGACCGATAGACAGTACTTGTATGGAATATGTATTTTGTATTTGTAGACGGTTTTGGTTCAACGAAAGCTAACGTTTTTTCTGAATTTTTTTGTTTGTCACGGAAAGAAAGATTTATCCATCAAATAAAGACCTGCAAGCAAATTATCGGTTATATCACTGGTTAATCACCCGAGAGCCCTTACAAAGATTTCTATTGAGTTTTTAGTTTCTATGAGTGTCCTAAGTAAAACTTTGGTTAGCATTGTAAGACGAACTAATTCTCAACTGAACTATAAGTCAAGGCTGATCTAACAAATGAGTGTGTATTGCTTACCCCATAACCAGCTTCCTTCTTGTTGGGAGGGTTCTTGCAGGGTATATAATAATATACATATGAAAACAATGTGGCATTTAAAGTATTTACGTGCATACACATTTATTCACTTTGTTCCTATCTATGAGTATTGATAAGGCGTCGCTTACATACGAACGTATTTTGGTTTTATTTTATTTTCTTGTTTACGTCCGTATTTATGCATATATAAAAACTTGCGCATACACGCGTGAATTGTGTATAGATGTACATATGTATGTAAGTATATAAATTAATTTGTATTATCATTGAACCGGCTGTCTGCTGACGCGGAGATTATTATTGTTTGTTACTAAAATTGATAAGCAGTTCTTTGCACAAACACTTTCCGCCGCTTTCCGACATACTTATGACGTGTCAAATCGCCTGCCAAGCAGACTACTTTACAACTAGTTGCATTTTGTTTGATTCCATTAAAAACCATGACCAAATGGTACTATACCATATTTTAAACCCCCTCTGGTAGTTATTGGTGTAGTGTCTATTGACTTTAACTTAACTGTTACTTAGATTAAAGAGTATCTCCTATAATATTGGATAAAAAGTCGAAAAAATCTATTCGTATTTTGTCGAAAGATGTGATTAGAAATACGAAAAGACTTTTTCGACTACAATATACATACATACATATAACTCTATTTCGAATATGAGTCTCTTTTTGGTTCACCATTACATTTTTCACTAATGGATTTTTACAAACATGTACTCTCTTATATTTTTAAATATGTGCATATATAAATACATATGTACATAAATCAATACAAATTTGGTGAATTTAATAAATGACTTTTGTTGCTTACTATTTAATATGAAACATTTTGTTTTCAATGAATTCATTAAAAACAAACCACACATTATCGGCTACATAGTATACAAATACAAAAATAACATGAAATGTGACCTAAAAACATGGTTAAATTATTCTTTTTCGGATTGAAATACATTGAATCAAGAAAAAACGTTCACGTTCACTTCGGTTTCATTGAAGCTATAGAACACAACATAAATAAAAAGGTGGTTCCATACAAGAAATAGGTGTTCATCGTTCAGTTTGCCTTAAATAATAAGCCGCGCCAGATTTTGTGAAGATATCGCGTCAATTAAAAAAGTTTTCTTTATTTTGATCGTTCAGTGTGTATGACAGATTTATGCTATAGTAAACCGATCTCAACAATTTCTTCGGAAACTGCATCATTGTTTTCGACAATAATTCATGTTAAATTTTATGAAGATATCTCGTCAAATAAAAAAGTTTTCCATACAAGGACATTATTTTGATCGTTCAGTTCGTATGGCAGCTATATGCTATAGTAGTCGTAAATCGGCGGTTCAATGCTAAATCGACTCAGTTTTTATTGCCGATCTTTTATATATACACCTGTTTTTGTTAAAAACATCGTGGCAAACTTAATATATCCTGTTTAGGATATAAAAACAATCAACTGCTCAACATCAGTTGTCTACGGTATTTCGCGAGATTGCATCCATTAAATTTCTCAAAGAATACTTAATTTTCATTTATTAACGAAAGTTTCCAATTGAATAATTTACCATGACGATTTCCAAATACTTGTATAGATATTTGTATAGTAGCTGGAAATGGTTTAAGAACTTTTAAAATAATTACCTTTATATACATATGTATATTTTTTGTTGCAAACTAGTATTTACAGTTGTACTAGTTGTAACTAAGCTCTGCAGTCTTAAAAGTATATTAATTTTTCAAGTTGATTAAATGTAAGGAATCGGAGAAATCTGTTAGAAAATGATTCTCAGATTCTTAACATTTAATCGACTTTAAAAATTGAGGGAAATAACGCTCGGGAATCTAGTAATTTGATTACGAACGTATCAATTAATTCAAATCTTCTAAATATTTGTTTTAAATTTCAAGAATGTCAATGCTTTTTCTTATTTTTTCATTATACATATGTATTTATTTATTCTATCACAAGTTTGACCAATGCTCTCAAATAGTTAAGAGCTCCAGTCGCCCTCCTTAGTTACTTCTTAATTGCTTCATGAACATAACGCCTCAAGTTTTGTTTTGTATAATACTTCATTTTTTTTTTTAATAGAAAACTTGCCGGTTTAAACAAATGGTTTTATCGCTTTTCCATGATTTATAAATAAACGTAAATCTGATGCAACATTTTAAGATTGAGTGTATATACTTCTTCAATCAAGCTTATTTGTATGTACTATTGTGTTAAAAATCTATATATACATAATTTTAGTTTTGATAACGGCACATGGTACCGCATAGACAAAAATACAAAAACTGCCAGACGTAAATATGTGCAATAAATAAACAAAATATATGATTATTAAAAATAAAATAAATTAAATTAAATGAACATACAATTCCATATAGTAACTGTGCTAAATTATATAAAACCGCAAGCTTGAAGAGCTCTAATCAGCGACTAAGTGCGATAACATTAACCTTTGCTCAAGCTGCTTTCGCTGGTGGCCTATACTTCAGGTGCACTTTGCGCATGTTTTACGACACTAGAAAGGTTACTGCACTTACGGTTAGACGCTTTTTTTCATAAACAAATTCAAAACCGTGGTCTGACAAATTTTTATTGAATTTTTGATATAATCATAAAACTTAACAACTAATAAATCAGTTCAGTGCAACTCTCACATATTATTCTCCATATTATCAATCAATTTCCTGACGCGTATAATATCTTCGGGATAAATGCGACAACAACCGCCAACAATTCGTGCGCCAAGTTCAAGCCACTCAGGTATATATGAGTCCAGTGGTATGCATTCATCGCGACCAGTCCATTTTTCTTGCTTTTCGTCATAGATTTCTCCACGGTTGCTGTATACAATAAGAGGTATGGATTCGGTGCCAGCTAGTGTATGAAGCGATTTAAAGAGCGGCTTAACGAACTGAAAGAAAGAGAGTTTTTAAATTATATCAATTATGGCTTTTGTATTGACAATTTATTGTTGAAGTGGCAACAGCAGTAAACTCCTATACTCATTATTTAAAAAAAAAAGATTCTAAACAAGCAAAAACATTGACCAAAGATAAATATCCTTCACAAATAAAAAAGTTCCCATACAAGAACTTAGTTTGATGGGTCAGTTTGTTGGTGAGAAAAAATTGTGTTTGAAATTTTATATCGATATCTCAACAACTGAGGTAAATACATACATACAGATGGAATTGCTAAATCGACTCAGCTTTTCGCGATGATGATATTATACTGATGATTATATATATATTATACGATCTGCAACATTTCTTTAGAACTTTAAAAAACTTCATGGTACCCAGTACGGCCATATTAACTGCTCGCATCAAACTTTTTTCTGAGAATACTTTCCTGACTCAATACATTTCTAAATAAATTTTGCTCTATCAGATAACTGATGCTAATGTCTCTTTTGTGTGATTAAATTTAGATGTTTTGAAAAAATTTATAATACCTTTGGATTTAGACAGTTTACACCAAGAGCAATTAACCGGTCAACAGCATTTGCTTCCTTCACTTTATTCCATATTGAATAAGCAGCATTAGAAAAAGTTTCACCATGCGCCAAGCTTTCGTTATCCTAAAAACGTGAAAATTATTGAGGTTTTCCAATATAAATTTAATTTCGGTAATTACCTTGCATTGAAAGGAAACCCAAAACTTCACATCAGGATAATCTTGTAACAACATATCAACAACAGCTTCAGCTTCCATCTAATAAAAAGTTAGGTTACTATTAGATTTTAGATAAAACTTAATATTATAAAAAAAAACAAATAGCCATAGTTCTCATCTACCTGACAAGGTATGGTTTCCACAGCCAAGCCGTCAACACCCTCTGCCAGGCAGGCGTCAATCCTAGGACAATGCCAATTTTGAATATCTTCCCTGGAAACGCGTTTCGAATAACTGCCTTTATATTCAGAGCCATCATGTAAGTGTGCACCATATGGACCAATTGAAGCCATTATTAGTGGCAAACCAGGCTCTGTAGTACCATTTGTTTTCTTCATCATTTCTTGATATTTAAATTTTGCCTCTTTAGTTAGTTGTACACTTTTGCGCATCAATTGTATGCTTTCCTCACGACTCAACTTCAAATGCTCCATATAACCTTCAATACTAGCTTGATACGTGTTGGAGACGATAATTTGTGCACCATCTAATTAGAATATTTGAAAACTATTTAAATACAAATTATGTGCAAAACAGGGCTGTTAAGCCCTTTTTATTTCCTGTTTTTATTTATGTGTGGCAGTGGTAGTTTCTAGTGTACTACACTGGTCGCATGCAAGTAATTATTGTATATTTTGAGTTTGGTATTTTTTAATACCTTCAACTTACTTTGAAGAAAGTCCAAATGTGTTTGAACTACAGCCGTTGGATTTTCCAGATCAAAACGCGAACCCCATAATGGATGTCCATCGATTTTTTCTTGCACATGACGTTCAAGTTGTGTCGAAAAGCCACCGCATTTAACTAAAATCTTTGAAGCCGGCGACATTGTAGACAATGAAACGAATTCTGTAATAATAATATGAAAATGATTTGTCGTTAGAAAAAACATTTAATGTAAGGATAAATGTCTTTACTGTCTTTCAGATTGGGATTATTACTTTAATTTTTAATGCAATCAAGTACTTACCAGTTCCCTTCTTTTCAAGAGTGAGCAAGTTAATGAAAAGGCTTATGACATAGCACAATGTGTGATTTTCAATGAATATTGGCGTATTTATAAATTTCAATATGATAAGTTCCGAGTATCACCCTTTGTTATTCTTATTGTATTTGTGATATTGATCACTGACTTTTGACGAGATAAGTTGCACTTACACACGGTTATTTACTTATAATACGTGAATGCGTGCTTTCTTGTTAAACATAAAGTTTTGCAAGAATTTACAAAATTTTTGCACACGCAAGTTGTAATCCGAGATTGATAAACAAAAAAGCCGACTCAAGAATCGTACACAAAAGATTGCGACCAAGAATGATGGAAGAAAGATAACGACATCGGACTATGACGTCATATGTACATATGTGTTTTACAAAATGAGAAGAGGCAACGTATAAAACTGCCAAATTGGCTGTAAATTGTAATTGTAATTATTGTTGATTGTTAATAATTTTTAAATTTTTTGTTAACATAATTGCCAATGTAGTGTTAAAACACTTTTATTTCCTGTATCAGATTAAACGAAACGATTACGATGTTTCCAGCAATATATTCTTTTATTTTAAATAAATATGTTCTGATAGTCAGAAGTTGATATATGTATAACTTCAAATAAATAATTATTTAAAATAACAATTTGTCAAAAAAGTTTTTCACTCAACAACTCAAAATCAGTTCTTTTACATTTAAGTTTAAAAAAAAAAATCGAATACTTCAGCCAATAAAAGAGCATCTATTACAATAAATAACGGCACACGTCATAAAAAATCTCGATTGCTGGTAAACATACGTGTACATATGTATGTTTGTGTATATTGTACGTACCACGATTTATAAAAAAATTACAACCCCAAACAATAACAAATTTGCATTGTGTAAATTGCGAATTGTAACAAAAATGCAACAGCTCCCGCAGCCAATTTTCGAACAGCTGATTGTCCCCTATTGCTTTTGTTATGTTACCTTTTGACTGTTTTCACTTTCTGTTTTCTTCACTTCTCAAATAATTATATATGGTTTTTTCCCATGATGCTAGTGCTGCGTATTTTCTTAAGTTTGTATAATAATTGTATTATTATGTAAGCTTTTATAAAATA